AAACTTTCACATAGTCACAATTGAATTCTTGAGCTTAAACTTAGAACCAATTAAATAAAACTGACAAGCCTGTATTTTGGTGAGGTGATATAGCATATTTGCCTCTTTATTGATCAAGGATGAAATTAATCATGTAGCTATGCCCTCTTATGAAAGTAATCATTCTGTTTAAACCACATGTTAATGTTTGTCTTATTTGACCAGAAATCAGATGTCTTACTTGACCAGATGTAAGTACCTTTATTTGGACTCAACGCCCAAACTTAATCAACCTTTCTGGTTACATGTTGTTTTTGTTACGTGCCATCAAGTTGGACCCGACTCATAGCGACCCCTCCTTGGGTTTCTGAGGCAGTATCACTACGGAAGTAGATTGCCCCATCTTCCTTCTGAGGAGTGGCTGGTGGGTTTGAACCGCCAGCCTTCTGGTTAGCAGTCAAGTGCCTTAGCCACTATGCTACCAGAGCTCCCTTCTGGTTACATCAAGTTCTACAAAACAGAAAATTAAAGAGAGGCTATATCCCCATCATTTGGTACTTGTGCCACAGACCCTAACCCAGGAAGACAGACGATGCACAATGATTAACCAGAGCTCCAGAACGTGAATTCTAAGATGCTATTTATTGAGAATCTTGCCCTCTTATTTCCCTATGTGGATGACATTATGTTTTGTCTACTTTCCCAGTGCCTGAGATGACTAAATGGGCCATCTACAGAATGCTAATGCCTCTAAGGTGACTGAATTCATCCTTGTTGGATTTTCCCAACAGCCTCAAATCCAGACTGCCTTCTTCTTAGGACTACTGCTATTCTACTTGGTCACAATATTTGGAAACAGCCTTATCATTGTTGCAATCAGATGGGATTCTCGACTTCACACACCCATGTATTTTTTTCTCAGTAACTTGTCATTCCTTGATATCTGTTACTCCACCAGCTGGAAGCCATATGTCTTGACCCAATGCTTCAGAGACTTCCCCACCATCTCTTATGCTGCCTATTATGCCCAGATGACCATATCCCTCTTTCTGGGAATGACCGAGTGTCTCCTCCTTGCTGTCATGGCTTATGATAGGTTTGTTGCAATCTCCAGTCCCCTGCGCTACACCATCATTATGAACAAGCGGGTCTGCATACAGTTGGCCTTGGGAACCTGGGCCAGTGCCTTCTTAGTTGCAGTCACGCCCATTATTGCAATTCCTGCTCACTATTGTGGGCACAATGTTATCAACCATTTCACATGTGAGATCCAGGCCCTATTAAAACTTGTCTGCTCGGATACCCCACTTGATATGATTCTGGGTCTTGTTATCAGCGTATTCACATTGCCCCTGCCCTTCACCTTGATCCTCATCTCCTACACTCGCATTGCGGTTGCTGTGTTGAGGATCCGTTCTGCAGAGGCCAGGCTCAAAGCTTTCTCTACCTGTGGATCCCATCTGACTGTGGTCACCATATTTTATGGGACAGCCATCTACATGTACTTGAAACCTCAGTCAAAGGAGTCCCAGGAACAGGACAAAGTCTTCTCAATATTTTATGGAGCAGTTACTCCCATGTTAAATCCCCTCATTTACACCCTGAGAAATAAGGATGTAAAAGGTGCACTTAGGAAATTAGCCAAAGGAAATGAAAAGTCCTAATGGCTCTCTTTAAATGTCTCTAATGTGCAGGAAAAAGAAATGAAAACTTGATCCATCATTTTAATTTATGTCATTTAAAACAAATAGCAACAATAAACATTCTAGTGAGCATGGTAAATAATGTGGTTACACAGCTATGGTATAGGATTTGCTCCTTGTACCACATTTTATAGGCATCTGTCCCAACTTGAATTTGAATTTGAATGGACAAATGCCCCTTCAATTTCCACTTTTAGGTGATAGCATTTTGTGACAATAAGTATCTTTTGTTTGAAAAGCACTTTATCCTTTTAAAGGTGTTTTTTAAGAAATTATTCCTGTGTATATTTACAATTTCTTATTTTGAAGTATTTTATATATTATGTTGTTGTTGTTGTTAGGGGCCGTCAAGTTGGCTCCAACTCATAAGAGCCCTACGTTTATAGCAGAACAAAACACCACCTGGAGTGTGCCATCCTCACAGTCTTTGCTGTGCTTAAGCCCATCGTCGCAGCCGCTGTGTCAGTCCATCTCGCTGAGGGTCTTCCCCTTTTTCACTGACCCTCCACTTTAGCAAGCATGACATCCTTCTCCAGGAAATGATCCCTTCTGACAACATGACCAAAGTAGATGAGAGGAAGCCTGGCCATTCTCATTTCTAAGGAGCATTCTGGCTACACTTTTTCCAGGACAGATTCATTCATTCTTCTGGCAGTCCATAGTATTTTCAGTATTCTTTGCCAACACCACAATATAAAGGCATCAACTTTTCTTTGCTCTTCCTTATTCATTATCCAGCTTTCACGTGCATATGACGCGATTGAAAAGACAATGACTTGGGTTAGTTGCACCTTAGTGTTCAAATATCTTTGCTCTTTAACACTTTAAGGAGGTCTTTTGCAGCAGATTTGCCCACTGCAATACCATGTTTGATTTCTTGACTGCTGCTTCTATGGGTGTTGATTGCAGATCCAATAAAATGAAATCCCTGACAATCTCAATCTTTTTCCCATTTATCATGATGTTGCTTACTGGTCCAGTTGTGAGGATTTTTGTTTTCTTTATATTTTATTTTCTTTATACTGAAGACTGTAGTCTTACATATTATACATATTAATAAGTCTTTTTAACAAACATTGTTTCTACAAATATTAAATTTCCATCATGTCAATCTGTTATAAAAAGTCTAAACCAAAATTGTTATTCTTTTGCCTTCTGCTATTTCTCTGCCTTCTCTTCCATGGCATGCCTTAGCAACCCTCTGGCCATTTCTGCTTCCACTCTGCACACTGATGAGCTTTAACATATCTTCTCTCCCCAAAAGTCTTCATGGCCAGGATTGTGATTCCTTCTCTCCTTCACAACTTAATAGCATGCTGTACGTACTTTCTATTCTTGGCAGCCACCATTTCTCGTGCACTTTGTATCTTGGTAACTTGTCAATTATTTTTCTCATCTCGACGAGCTCACTCCAGGATCCTTTGGCTTTAGCACCTGCAAAGGAAACTGTATCTTGCTCTTCAAACTTCCTTTCCTCCCATAGCCTTCTCTTGGGTTTCTGGTCTCAATATTTTGTATCCTTGGGCTTTAACCTCATCTCAGACAGCTTCTTCACTTTCCTTCTTATCCATTCTGGCTTCTAACAAACAAGCAAGCAAGCAAAAACAAAAAAAGAAAAAAGAAAGAAAGAAAGATAAGAAAAACCAACCACAAAAGATCTACAGACTGATCTCTTCCCATAAGGCTTTTACCACTATCATAGGCAAATGGAGTGTGAAGATTATTCCCTGATTGTTATGATTTTCTGACCAAAGTGAAGAGGTAAAAATCATTGGAAACTGACAATTCTTCATCAACCCATCCTAGCCTTTTTTCTTACGTATTTTTTTCTGACTTAGTTTTCCTGGTAGTAAGAGGCCCATGGAAGCAGCAGTCAAGAAATCAAATACAGTTCCAAGTTGTACTTTGTTAGTGGTACCATGTATATTATCAGGAAAAAAAAAAAAAAAACCACTGCTATCGAGTCAATTCTGACTCATGGCTACTTTAGGACAGAGTAGAGCTGCCCCATAGAGCTTCCAAGGCTATTGAGCTTCCAAGGCTATAGAGCTTCCAAGGCTATAAATCTTTACAGAAGCAGATTGCCTCATCTTTCTCCCCCAGAGAGGCTGGTGGGTTCGAACTACCAACCTTTTAGTTAGCAGAAAAATGCTTTAACCACTATGCCAGCAGAGCTCCCTATGATCAGGGGCTTCAATTTTGGACAATGGAGTCAGAAAGCTTAGGTTCAAATTCAAGCTCTTCCATTTATTAGCTATAGAATCTTGGGCAAATTGCTAAACTGTTCTATGCATCAATATCCCCATCCACAAAATAAAGATTATAATAGTAACCTCATGGTGTAGACGCTCTGGTAGCTCAGTGGTTAAGCACTAGTCTGCTAACTGAAAGGCTGGCAGTTTGAACCTACGAGATGCCCAGCAGGAGAAAGATGTGTCAGTCGGTTCTGTAAAGACTTAGAGCCTTAGAGACCCTATGGGGCAGTTACACACTGTCCTATAGGGTCACTATGAATATGAATCAATTCAATGACAACACGTTTGGTTTTCTGGTTTCTTTATAGTGTTAGTTGGTGCTTAGAACAGTTCCTGGCACATAGTAAGCATTCAATAAATGTTAGCTATTATTGTTGTTTTGTAATACCTTCCAAAGACTCCTGTTCTTTGTTTTCTAAAGTCTACTTCTTTTACGCATCTTCTCCTCCAGAGTATACAAAGAAGGCCCTTACCAGCCCACTGTCTAATTTCAGAAGCACAATAATATCCTATTTCCCTTTGGCTCTCATTTTTATGGTTTTGCTCTTAATCAGATTGACTCCTATTCCAGTTCTTGCCCTATCCTTCATATAGTTTAAGTAGAGACAGCCCCAAACTTAGGAATGTGTTATGTCCAAAATTTAACTCCTAAGTCATCATCTTGGAACTGCGAGCATGTTTCAATGACAGAGATAGCGTGGTTACATTCCGAAGACAGCTCAACAACACCTATTTAGGTAGCATTCTATCAGTAATGATACTAGACGTCCTTGCACATCTAGTATTTCTTAAGGTATGCTTATTAGAAGATGGGTTTTGAGTCCCCATTTAGGATTCTAAAAACACAGGAACTGATAGAAGGAATTATTATTTTTAAAAAAATCTACCATGAAAGTCTCTGCAACCACTCCCATGCCCTCATGGATGTGTGAGGAAACCTCATAACAAGGATGGGATTTGGGGAACTTGTCTAGGGATTACAAAAATAACTCACTTCTGGGTATAGTTCATTCACAATTCAGAGGAATGCTGACCCTCTCTTCACTTCCTTTTATGTTATTGCTGGTGTTGGGTCACTAGCTAATGCTGTGCCTGGGAACACTTCTTCCACAAATATTTACTAAGTACAAATCCCAGTAAGCCACTTTATGCCTTTGAGAGGCTCACATTGGAGTTGGGAGCAAATAAGCATAGTGGAATACTATACACACTGTGATCCAAATGTGTACAACATATAGTGACCATTTCTAACGGGCTAGGTGGGAAACATGTAAGAGAAGAGACAATGCTTTTAGTAGAGTCTTAAGAGAGTTTTCCACTTGGGTAAGGGATGACTATTTTAGTGGCTGCAATATGAATAGGTACAGATGTATGAAATTCAGCCTGGTGTATTTCCAAATACTGCCAACAATTCAACATAACTATAGCAGAAGATAGGGAAAGTGTTTTTGACAAAAGACTGTTTTGAGAAGAAAAAAAAGAAAAACTCACTGCCATCGAGATGAATTCAAGTCATAATGACCCCCTTTGGGTTTCCAAGGCAGTAAACCCTTATGGAAGTAATTGCCCAGTCTTCCTTCCATGGAGTGGCTGGTGGGTTTGAACCACAAACCTTCTGGTTAGCAATCAAATGCTTTAGGCACTATGCCACCTGAGCTAGCAGTGGGCCAGATTATGGAAGGATTGGTAACTCACTACTTTTGAGTCGGATCTAACTCATAGCAAGCCCTCCTTGGGTTTGCTATTTATTCTACAGGTGCAAACAAACTAGAGCCTGTAAAGCCAACTCCATCCCTTGACTTGTACAGCCAACAAGCTCAGAATGGTTTTAATTTTTTTAAGCAATGTGGGGGAAAAATAAAAAAGTAATCAACAGAAACTGTGTGTGGCCTGCAAAGCCTCAAATATTTCTATCTGGCCTTTTATAGAAAAAGCTTATTGGTCCCTGCTGCAGGTGGTAGGTAGCCATTGAAGGTTGTTGAGCAGGACAATAAAATGTTCAGAATTTTGTTTTAGAAAGATCACTTCAGCAAAAATGTAGAGAATTGATTGGAGTGGTACAAGATTAAACACAGGGCTGATGATGAGGCTGTCAGAGCAATCTGCGGCTGATGAGGACCTGAACTAAGGTCATAGCAATCGGGATCTGGAGGGCCTCTAGGTCCCAGTGTACCTCTGGTTTTCCACTTTTCTATGCCATTTCATTTACATTCAACATATGTTTCCTCAGAGGAAGGGTGCTTATCACATTTATGATAAAGGGCCTCAAGGGTAGGGTGATCTCACTCTCAACAGCACTCATTTCTTTCCTACCACCCACTTAGCACAGAGAGATAGGAAGGGGTAGGGTCCAAGTGACACAATTGTATTTTATTCCTATATCACAGCCCCCTCCTCTGGCTCAGCAGAGCCTTTTATGGCATATAAAATTGCATTTTATTCAAGCAAAACGTTTTTATTTAAAGATAATAAATATCTTCTGGCTTCTTACGTGATCTCTGAAGTTCACTGTTCACCTGTCACTTCTTTAAACTCACTGTTGCATCACATGTGTCATGATTCATGCCCCCATGAGCCTTAATGGGAAGATTTCTAAAAATATTGTTTAGCAATGTCAGTGACTTCCAGTTTCTAAGTTTTCCTGTGATCAAATATCATTAACTCTTTTTTTTATATATCATATTGGTGCTTCCTTCTTCTCCTATA